ATGAGCCAGTTTCTTCAAAAAGCTAAATGCATCTGGAATCGAATTTTATAATTTCAAAACTTTATTAGTAGCACTTTTACTTATATTGTTTGTTAATATTTATGTTTTAATCAATTCCAACTTCCTCCTTTTTTCAACGAATTTTTGAATCCATATCGAACTAGACTGGAAAATCAATCAGTTGAATTTCAAATTTTTCAATTTACAACTAATTGAATTGGGACAAATTCAATTTATTAAATGAAGTCACATCAGGGTACATAAAAATCTTGAGCATTCCCGATCTCGCTGAAAATTGCGATCGATCACTCGCATGTGTTCGTAATTCTTCATATTGAACTTTGTTATTTTAAGTTAAAATGCAAACCGTTTTAATCGGTGGCGAGCCCGAAATATTGAGTCGTGCCATCAATGGCACGCGTGCCATTGGTTCGCCATCCCTGGTTTATACCATCTTCTTATACTCTTAGATGTCGGTGCATTTCTATGGCACTTCTCCGAAATTCAGGATGAAACGTGATTATACTGACAGACTTTTTGCAAACGAGAGCACACAAAATGCCTTTCTTCCGCTGCGACGCCATTTCCACTTCTGTTCAGAATTACAACATTGCTGCCACCTATTTGACAAAAACAACGTTACAAACTCAGAATTTCATATTTTATCTTTACAATGACATATTAATGATCATTTTCTGCTTATTCATATGGGAATTATTAAATTTTGCTATCGGGTCATATTCCTTTCTAATAACCCTGTATTTTTCCCTACGATATCGAAGTAAGAATTTTACATTTTAGCATATATTTTTTAAGCTTTCAACTTATTATAATGTTGGCATGTGGTGTTCAAATTCCCAGAAAAAGAACTTACTTGTTTTTAAAGAGAGAGTTGCGACATGGTCGACCTACGATAACCATATCGTGGGGTTTCAGCGTAAGTTAGAGGTGTGGGATTCTCGAAATGATGAGACATTTTAGAATTCTTAATATGACTTTTATTAAGAATTTAACTTAGATTACTTAGATATCGAACAAACTTATATTAAGTGAGAATAAACCAAAACGCGTAGTCTTAATCAATACAGATCGCGCAATTAGATCACTTATCAATATAATTATATTATATCCGCCTACTCTTGATCTCAATAATATATTCGCGTTCAGAATATAATCTTCCTACCTTGGTTGAATACTCAACGTCCAATCTACTTCAAATATTTCTCCAAATGGTCGTACAATGGTATGTACCTTGGTTAAAATGGCGAGCTTTACGGGATTCTAGATAAGCCGTCAATCAACACTTCTATCTTCTCTACACTGAACTTTCTCTAAATTGCCATCATGCTCACTAGAACTTCTATCCTTTTAAAGGTTATCTTATTTGCATCTATGCTTCATTTCACTTCTTGGATTTGGGTTGGAAAAGATTTGCCATTAATCGTGGCCGTCAAAGAACACAGAGGTTATGTTAGAGGAAGGACGCGTGAGATGTCACAGAGTTAGATGCATATGCTTTAAATGTATAAAAATAAAATAGAACCAACCAGCCAAAGTTTTTTAAAAGTACACTTTAAAATTAAAAGCATTCGTTTGGTTCTCTCTTTGGCTACTAGCCTTGAGACCAGCGATACTCAACCTGCGGCCCACCGAGCCTTTTTAAGTGGCCCGGTCATATGGCCCATTGCTCTAAGAAATTTACTTATTTAAGAACATTGTATTAAAAATTTAGTGGTAAATTCTGTATCAAGAAATCAAAAATATCAATTTTCCTTTATGCTGTCGGTGTCGTACGGGTACGAATTGATATTGTTTTTCTATTTGGAACGATTACGGTCAGTGATAACAGACAACAGTGGAGTAGCGACAATTTTATGGGTGGAACTAATTTTTAACTATCATTCATATCTTGTAAGCGAAAAATATTCGAAGAAAATATATCGTTTCAAGACAATTGGGAGGTTGACTATTTTGTAGTGAAAAACAAACATATATCAGTAATTGTTTGATTTGTCACGAAAGTGCTGTATTTAAAAAATTCCAATCAACAGGAATCATTCATTGACACTTTTCCACGAAGATCTCTTTCAAGAGGTGATAAATAGGCTTTCTTGAATAATCTTTGCATCAGCAACAAAATGTTTTGTCAGTGGTAATATCACAGCGGTAATAAAGACATCTTATGAAGAGTTTGTTATATTATTAGTAATCATGTGAAACCGTTTACTGATGCAGAAATTGTGGAGTGTTTCTTAAATGCTTCTAATTTAGTGTTTGAGACAAAAATAAAAAAATTATAATTAAAAAAAAAAGCAAAACACACTCAGGAGTTGTAATGTTTTGATTAATTTCCCACATTTTAAATTTCTAATGTTATCTTGGTCTTAAGATATCCGACTACGTTCAGAAACGTGACTTTGCAAAAGCGTATAAATGAATAATATTTATGATATTTAGTGTTACTTATAGATCAGAAAATGTATATAAAATTGTTTTAAGAATATTATTACAATAAAAAAATCATTTAAGTACAATATTTTGACAAAAAATGAGCATAGAATGACCCATTTTCAAAATATTCTCCTTTTGCGAAAAATGCTTCTATTATAATAATATTTTGCCAGTATATAGCTCAGACCTCTGTACAAAGGCTCAAGTAGAATTTTTGAAATATATAACTTAGAAGTGGGTTTATCCATGTTTTACGACAACAGAGGGGAGAAATTTCAAGAAAAAACGCTGATCATTATTTCAAATGGCTGTAACTCTAAAAATAATGTGAATTTTTCAAAAATCATAGTTGAGCCTCTGTACAGAGGTCTGAGCTGTATACAGGCAAAAATATTATTATAATACAAGCATTTTTCACAAAAGGAGAACATTTTGAAAAAAAGTTATTCTAAGTTAATTTTTTGCAGAAATATTGTATTTAAATAATTTCTTTTGCCAAAATGTCCTTAAAACAATTTTATACATGTATTCAAATGTAAGTGACACTAAATATCATGAAAATTATCCATTTATGCGCCTTTTTAAATTCACGGTTCCGAACGTAGTTGGATACCTTAAAGCATTTCTCCATCCCCCTCCCCCATTTATCCTAATGTTGCAGGCCACGTGAAATAACTAACATAGGTATGCGGCCCGCGTGAAATAGTTGACATGTGTATGCGCCCCAGCAGAAAAAAAGGTTGAGTACCCCTGCTTTAGACTATATACTACAGGGGTGTAAAACTCAAAAGCTAACTCGTGCCAAACAAACAAGGTTTAACTTTAGACAGGTCTGAAAAGAAGAATTAATATTCATAGAAACGTAGGTTTATTTCGAGTAATTCATTATAATAATTTTATTTTGTATTATTGTGTCGGGATATATTAGCCGGCCGTAAAAATGTTCTTTGTGGGCTGCATGCGGCCAGCGAGTTTGTCACCCCTGATGTACTCATGGACTGCCTGGCAAATTTAGAGCATCTTGCCGGTATCCGACTACTTTCGGAACCATGATTTTAAAAAAGCGCATAAATGGATAATTTTCATGATATTTAGTGTCACTCAGATTAGAATACATGTATACAATTGTTTTAAGGACATTATGACAAAAAAATTATTTAAATACAATATTTTGGCAAAAAATTACTTAGAATAACCTTTTTCCAAATGTTCTCTTTGTAGCTTCATTGTATTAATATTTTGCCTGTCTATAGCTCAGACCTCTGTACAGAGGCTCAACTATGAGTTTTGAAAAATTCACATTATTTTCAGAGTTACAACCATTTGAAATAATTATCGGCGTATTTTCTTAAAATTTCTCCCTTCCGTTTTCGTAAAACATGGATAAACCGACTTCCGAGTTATGCATTTCAAAAATTCTAGTTGAGCCTCTGTACAGAGTTCTGAGCTGAATACAGGCAAAATATTAATACAATAGGAGCATTTTTTACAAAAGGAGAACATTTTGAAAAAAAGGTTATTATAAGTTAATTTTTTGCCAAAATATTGTATTTAAATAATTTTTTTTGTCATAATGTCCTTAAAACAATTGTATACATGTATTCTAATCTGTGACACTAAATATCAAAAATATTATCCATTTACGCGCTTTTGCAAAATCACGGTTCCAAACGTAGTCGGATACCTTAAGTGCCAAGATTGAAAAAAAAATTATAAAATATAGTAATATTAAGTTACTGATATAATATTGTGAAGACACATGTGCAGTAATTTTTATTGAAAGAAAAAAAAAACCATCATGGGATAACTCGTACTTGGCGTCACTGAATAAAAGTGTCACTCAGGGGCGAAGCTACCACCGTTTCAATAACACGAGGCCCCCAAGCTACAAGAGCCCTAATATGTGTAACTAAAGTACCAGTAACAGAGCTCCCATATGTAAAAAAGGGCCCCGAAGGAATTTTGATACAGGGCCCCCACAGAGCTTGCTACGGCAGTGGTGTCACTTACAAGTTATCTCGTAGTGTTGTTTTTTTCTATAAAAAGATTCATGTACAAATATTTTATATTCGCTTTGTTTGATTTTACCGGCTCTTCACCTAATTTCATCTGGTGACAATCAGATGTGTAATCATCCTCACTAGGAAAATTTACAAGGCGACGGTAGTTGTAAAGCAATAAAAATTGACTGATAAGTAAGGTGACCATTTTTTTTTTCACAATGAAAAGAAGGACGAAAAATTTAAGAACAAATTACAGCTCAAATATATGAAACGTTTTATTAATTCAAGTAAAAATACGCTAGCATTCTTTTTAATTATTATCTTAAGCGAATATTTCTCCACTAAATGAATTTTTTGTCAACATTTCATTTTTGAAGTTATACTTCTTTTGGGACGTTAGAGAAATAGGATGAGGGTGAATTTTTACGATGCGTGCGCACACCGTCACGGATGCGAAAATGCTTTGTCTAGAAATATACAGAACGGGACAGATCATTGCCGCCTTTAAAATTCTCAGAAAAATATTTCTCTTCACTTTCCTGAAGAAGGAGATACCCGGGTTCCAACCGCGCGGAAACCTCTCAATCTGCAGTCGAATACTTTACCACTGAGTAATACATTCCGTGTCAGAGAACCTTTGCTTTGCGTTCCGTAGAAACGGATACGAAAATGCTTTGTCTAGAAATATACAGAATGGGACAGATCATTCCCGCCTTCGAATTCTCAAAAATCTCTCTCTTCACTTCCCTGAAGAAGGGGCTCCCGGTTTGAACCGAGGACCTCTCGATCTGCAGTCGAATGCTCTACCACTGAGCTATACCCCGGTGTCAGCGAACCTTTGCTTTCCGTAGGAATGGATACGAAAATGCTTTGTCTAGAAATATACAGAACGGGACAAATCATTCCCGCCTTCGAAATTCTCTCAAAAAATATATTTCTCTCCACTTCCCTGAAGAAGGGGACACCTTGGTTTGAACCGGAGACCTCTCAATTAGCAGTCGAATGCTCTATACCACTGAGCTATACCCTCCGTGTCTGTGGACCTTTGCTTTGCTCTGATTCGTGACATCACTACTAGTAGGGAGAGATCGTTCTTTGCCAACGGAGCTTCTCTGATGCATTTGTTTGAACACTTTTGTTATTAAACCAAACATACTTACAGGAAATTTTTTAAAAAAATTAGTAAATTAATCTTTAAATTGTGTTTCATGTACATAAAACATAAGAGTAAATATTAGTTTACCTATTTAAATAACAATTGCAAGTACACTGCTGGCCACCGTAAATGCAACACCAAGAAAGACAAGAGATAGCACAACAAAATTTGTTTTGTAGATAACATGTTGACCAATTATGAAATGATTAAATTTATAGACTTCTGTGAAGTGTGGTTCCTGCCAGAATCAGTAGCCAGAGTAGACGCCATTGTTGGAGATCACCGCTGCCACACGCCCCGGCATTGATTCAAAAAGACTTTGGATGTATTCTTGGGGTACAGCAGAACAAACAGCTTCCACGCGTTGCCAAAGTTGACCTGGTGTGGCAGCTGGGGGTGTAATCTGGGTCAATCGTTGAGCAACCATGGACCACATGTTTTATATCGGAGAAAAATCCGGAGACCGAGCCGACCAAAGAAGCAATTCAGTCTGGTGATTGACGAAGAACCTTTGGACAATGCGTGTCACGTGTAGTCGTGCATTATCCTGTTGAAATAGGGCTGTGACCAAGCCCTGAAGGTAAGGAAGGACAACTGGCTCCAACACCTCGGAGATGTAGCGCTGGCTGTTTAAAGTACCGGCAATGCGTACTAGAGGAGTGCGAGAGTAATATCTTATACCGCCCCATACCATAATACCCGTTGCAGGACGGTGCATAACGCAGCTGTTCAGCATCCTCTCTCCACGGTGTCTCCAGACTCGAATCCGATCATCGTGGTGTTGCAGACATATGCGTGACTCGTCAGTAAAGACAACTTCATTTCATTCTGCCGCCCACATCCTTCTTTCATCACACCATCGGCGTTGGAGAGGTCTGTGGTTTTGCGTCAAGGGTAGACCAAGCAATGGACGTCTTGCGGACACACCACTCTGCTGTTAACGGTATCGAATGGTACTTGCAGACACTGAATGATGCGTTACAGACTCAATGTGCTATGCTTTGGTTCGTGCTGTGATTGAGCTATCGATCACTGCCATGTGCACAATTTGCCTGTCCTCACGTGAAGTGGTGCACTGAGGTGGATGCGATCGACCACGTTGGCCCGTCGTACCCTCCTGCATCCAACGGTCACATATCCGCATTACAGTTGTTTGGTTTCGTCCAACATGACTACCGATTTCCCTGAAAGATAATCCACAATCTCGGTAGGCCCCCATCCTTTCTCTGTCGAACTCGGATACTTGATCAAAAGCTGATCACTGTTTTCTACGAGACATAACTGATCATTTTTGAAAAACCACAATTGCCGAACTTGAAATCGACGAAATCTCCACGCCTTAAATAGCGCTTTGCGGTGGCGCTACAGGCGCGCGTGATGTGTGTCTTCACTCAAATTCTAATCATTTGCATATCTCACCTCCACTAATGCATGTAAATTTCATGTTATTTGCATGCTTCCTTCAGGGTATTGCATTTAGGGTGGCCAGCAGTGTATATGATTATAGATGTATTTACTACGATCGCATTGTGATGAACATAAACACATTTATATATATATTACATTGTAGCAAATTATAAGAGCCTTTTGTATTCGTATATTTATTTTTGAAGTTATCCTTCTTTTTGGGCATTAAGGTAAAAAGGATGAGGGTAAATTTTTACGATGCGTGCTCACACCGTCACGGATGCGTGCGCATACCTTCATGACACCGATGCACGCGCGCATACCGTTGTCTAATATTTTAACATGCCACTTTTTTGGTGCTATGGGACTAATATTTGGGGGATCATAATAACTATTGTTATAAACCATATCCATTGGGACGCATCCCTCACTGTGCATTCCCCCTCTATAGCTTTTTGGCCAATATCTCGCACCCAAGCCTCACAGTCCATTCGGACCTGGCTCATTCGATCCCTTCCTATCTGCTCTTCCAGGTATTATAATTTCATGCTCAAAGGGCTATTTCTTCTATAGTTTTTAATCTTTTAAACTTGTTTAAATTCACAATATCTTGACTCCTGTTCGAGTCAGGCATGGGGAGGGCTTAAGCACTAAAATATCATGCTCCCATGGTAATCCTATGGGGACTGGAAAATATCTCCCCCCCCCCGCCGCCTAAGGAATTGCGCTTGGAACTTGATCTTTGGATGTCCACCATATTTTTGTATTAGCGCGAGCTGTACGTAGAATTGGCCCCCTTCCCCTACAGGGCTTCCCCAGAAATAACTCGAATCCTATGCCACCTTGGTCGACCGCACCGGCTGGATTCGATTGTTCTTCCTATGAGCATCCTAGATATATTTTTTCAGGACCATAGCCCCATTTCTTTACCCATATTTAACATTTTTAAATTATTTTAAAGTTATAATTTTTTAAAATCCCGCATAGCTCCAAGGATTTTTGAGATTCGTTACTGAAACTTGGACCATAGGTTCTCCTAGTTGAGCTGTTTCATCTGTTATAATTCGTGTGTAGATAGTGGGCTTAGAAGGGGCGTTATCACTAAAATTAGAATCCCCATGTTTTTCCTGTGGGGTTCGATCTTTTGATGACGTAACGATATTACAGAGATAGAATTATGAAACTTTGGGATCACCTACTACTCTGTGTATCGCTGGGATGTACGTGACCATTTGCAACTACAGACTCCGAACCGATTCTAATGGATTCCTCTTGTGTTTGCTCAAAACAAGGCCTAGTTTCCAGTTGCTGGGTGCCCTGCTTCTATTTTATTTGTTTTAATTATTTTAAAATGACCATAACTCGGGGGCTCTTCAGGCGGATGTCTTAATTTTCTCAGGAACGATTCTTCCCGCCGAGGTATTCAATATGAGGTCTCAGATGTCTCATTCGGCTCACTTCATCTCCAGATACAGTCTAATACCCCCCCCCCATGTTATTGGTTCTATTGTCCCTGTGTGTGGGGGTGTTTAAATTTATTTAAATCGTGATTATTTTGGCTGGTTCAATTGACTGAAGGTTAGTATACTTCAACTCTGCTCGTGACCGCCTTTCGCCCTTGGTCCAGCTTGCCCTGCTAAAGATTTTTAGAAAGATTTTAATCTTGTTACGCCAAAGAAGTATAACTTCTTACGTGCGTACGTACATAAGTACACACACGCTTTTTTTTTTAATTTATCGGAAAATTCGATCAAAAAATATCCTTCATACTTAATTTTACGATAAGCACTGTAGCTAAAATATTAACATTCAATTTTGATTTCTCACTAGTCACTTCACAAAAATGATTACCAACTGAAAAAACCTCTTTCAACTGTTGCATTAGTTCCAGGGCAGCACAACGTAAATTCAACAAGAATAATTACATTTTCGAAATGGTTTAAGTAATTTCACTCATCTTTTACCAATTTCTCAGCATGTTGATTTTTCAATTGTTCTAATTTATTAGATTTTAGATATGCATTCAGTCTTCTTTCTACTTCAAACAGACAACTGTCATCGATTTTAATATCAGGTATTTCTTTCGATAAAAACTCAACGTAATTTTCTATATCTGCCCACTTTACTTGAGACCAAGTCAAAAAATACCATTAAAAACTGTTATTTCCTGTGATAATTGTTTCAGACCATTCTTGAACATTTTGAAAACACGTTTGGCTCATCTCTGAATACAGAGATTAACAGATCAGTTTTAAAATATTGAAAAAAAAGGACACTTTTCGAGGAAGGACAGAATCTATAAAAGGAGGATGGTTTGTCACTTTATGATAATAATTAGCAGACCTCAGAAAAACCATCCGTTGGTACAAAAAAAAAATCGCTCTATCCTACGTCGAAATCTTCCAGCAGAATGCATTCATGTTCTATAACCAAAGAAATCCAGGGAATAAAAAGATAAGGATGCGACAATTTAGGGAATCAGTTATTATGCATTTATTTGATGGCGACGGCAGTAATGCAGGAAAAAGCAGCAAATATAATACAAATACAACCGATATTTTCATTGCTTAGAACAGGGGTGGCGAACCTTTATGGGCCAACGTGCCATCAAAAAATTTTGACTTGGGATTATTGGGAAAATAATAAAACTAAATACTAACAACCCAAAACTTTTTATTTGCTTCGAAAAATAAAATTTGCATTGTATAGTAGTAAATGTTTTAGTAAAACGTGTAATTTAAATTAAAGTAGCATTAGTGTGATTTGTTGCAGATTAGATAACAAATAACTCATATTAGAATTTTATAAGGTTACTTTTAGCAGAATGCATACTGAGTTAAAGTGATATGCTAAGCGGTTTCTTAGGGAGTCTTTAATGTTATTCACCTCTGAAAATAAGCATAGGTAGATGAAAATGTGGTTAAAAAGACATAAACCAGCTTCTTTAAATAGTTAAATGTGTCTGAAATCAAATCCTCGCCATCCCGCGACTGATCATTCGCGTTTGTTCGTAATACTTCATAGTGAACATTGTTATTTTGACCAGTGGGGTGCCCAAAA